GGCCTGGGCTCGATAAAGCCATCAAGGCTCAGGTGCACGGGTGCCAAGTATGCCAGCAGTCACAGCCTGAAATGCCTCAGGCCCCAGTTCATAGGTGGGAGGAAACCCAAACCCCATGGTCACGAGTACATATAGATTATGCTGGGCCCTTTCAGGGGCAATTCTTCCTTCTCCTTATTGACAGCTATTCCAAGTGGCTAGAGGTTGTTCCTGTTTCCTCCACTACTACTGCCAGGACCATCCAGGTGTTGAGAGGAATTTTCACCTCACATGGACTTCCAGATGTCCTGGTTTCAGATAATGGCCCTCAATTTACCTCTTTTGAGTTCCAGGCTTTTCTTCAGGCCAACTTGATCCAGCATGCGACTTCTGCTTCTTTCCACCCATCTACCAATGGCCAAGCAGAGAGGATAGTGCGCACTACCAAAGATGCTCTCAAGAAACTGACTTATGATAATTGGATCACAGGTTAGCAGATTTCCTTCTTGCACACCACACCACACCTTGCACAGCCACAGGGAAGAGCCCTGCAGAACTCCACTGGGATCGCCGCCTCATCACCAAACTGGACAGGTTACACCCAGACCGCGTGGCTTCACAGGTTTCACAACCGCGGGCACCTAGGAGATTTCAGGTGGGCAATCCGGTCTGGGCATGGAACTATGGGCCTGGACATCTCTGGGTCACAGCAGTGGTATGCAAGATCTCTGGGCTGCTGTCATATGAAGTAGCCTTGTTCTTCGCAGACACATAGATCAACTGCGCTGGAGGCTTCACAGCCACGTTTCCATATGCATTCTGGGTCACAGGTTCCCAGGCGTAACAGGGCCTCAAGTTTCCGCAAGTGCGCCGAACAGGAATTCCCAGGAAGGGGGGTCACCTTGCACATCTGTTATTGCTCCAGACAGAGAGTTACACCAGGGGTATCCACATTATCCAAACATGTTAGATAGTGCTCCAGACAGGGAGATGCACCGGGGGTATCCAAACAATTCAAGCACAGCCCCAGACAGGGAATTCCATCAGGGGCACTCTCACAATTCAGCAATTCCTCCAAAAAGGAAGTCTGTAGAAAGGGGGGTTGACATGGAGGCAGCTCCTGACTCTGGTACCTCTGGCACGTGCACGGGGGCTACGGAGTACTGGGGCACTTCCGCCACTCAGGCCTCTCCAACTGCTGGCCTTAGGCTCGAAGGACAGAGTTCCCAACAGGAGTCCATTGTGGACTCGGGGACTGCCACCCCTCCAAGGTATACTGGCTTGGACTCAGAGGGTCCAGCCAGTCAGCAGCTGGGTGGGGCACCTGGGTATTTGGGGCATCAAAATCCTGGCAGGCGAGCAGGTAGGTCAGGCACACTCACCGGCCATTACAAGATCACAGCAAGCCAAGTGCCCACCCAAACATCTAGGAGATTATGTGAGGCTTCTGTCAACACATGGGGAACCTTGCTAATAGGTCACTGGATGGGGGTTAACACTCAATAAAGAGTATCATATACTATTATGATTTTGGCTGCGTTTTGTTTAATTTAATAATTATTTTGTCAAAGTGTCTTGCCTGTGCGCAGACCAGAGTGACTCCACTCTCCCTGCCTTGAACAATGTACCTGTGCGTAAAGCTAGGTGTGTTTTATCTAGGGGGGAGGGGTGTTGTGTCCTGAGCCTACTACAGCAGAAAGCAGGCTCAGAATTGTTGCAAACAGTCCCGGGCAAACCAAAAGCTGCCCGGGACCAGACAGGGTGGCACCAGCATTGTGTGCATGTGCAAGCCGCGAAAATAGTCAGTTCACACTGTCCGGGTTTCAGGCACTATAAAAGGCCTGCGTGCCTTTTGCTCTTTGCTTGGTTGTAGGAGAAGAGTAATAAAGAGCTTTGTTGTTTTCACCATGTGTCTTCGTCAATTGCCAACAAACGGAAAACACATCAGTGGGAGAAGCGTACTTTTAGATTTGCAATATTCTGTTAGTGTAGCTTTTCAATAATGTAGAATTAGCTTATTTGCTGCATTTCCTATCAGGTCTACCCAGTGGTGGGATTCAGCCAGTTCACACCACTTCGGCAGAACCGGTAGCTAATTTTTGTGTTGCCCAGGCCCAAAATGGACTTCCGGAAATGGCATCCACACAGAGAACTGATGGTCCACATATTTGAATCCACCACTAGTTCCACCTGATAAGGCTGGCAAAAGCTCTCAACAGTCACTAAGCTCTCAATGATGATAAATGTTTCATAATTACTTATTTATAAGAATTTGCTTCTAGAACAACAGAATACTTGGCAGCCTGATCAGTACACAAAGATTACAATATTTAGTATTCATTCCGGTAAGCTCAGTGACATAAACAGATTTTGAGTTAGTGCAATTGCTCTCATTATTTTCACCTGCTGAATTAACTGGTATTCTGGGTTTATCTCAATAACCTTGTTTTTAAGCCTGATTCTCACAAGCCACTTTTTCAGCCAAATGTAGATTACTCAGCCATGCTAGGAATAGGATCAGTTTGCGTCTTTCTATTCAGTAACTGGAATTTCTCCCTCCTAAAGGCTTCAGTGCAAACCAACTGTTCTACTGCCTACCATCCTGGGTAATTTAAGTGGTCTCTTGTCAGATATCCATGGATCAGTTTACAGCAAGCAGAATGAAGACCAAAGACCCAATTTTCCTTTCTATCTGTCTGTCTGTCTGTCTATTAATAATAATAATAATAATAGAATTGGGAGGGACCTTGGAAGTCATGTAGTCCAACCCCTGCTCAGGCAGGAAACCCTATATCAGTGATGGCAAACATTTTAGAGACCTAGTACCCAAAAACTGGCCTCAACCCCACTCCACCCCTGCCCTGCCCCCACTCCACCTGCCCGCAGGGCCACTCACCGCCTCCGGGGCCTGCCGCAGATCACCCAGGCAGCCCAGCAACGCCATGGTGGCCACACCCTCTGCCCGTGCCCTGCAGCATCAACTGTGCATGATGGGGCGTGAGGGCAGAGGCTTGTCTATGCTGCCTGGCTGCCATGTCCTTGGCTGTGCTGCTCCACATGGGCCACACTCAGGGGCAACTCTCCTCCAGGGAGGCTGTTGGTGAGGATGGGTTGCGGGGGGAGGCAAAGCTGGGGCAACAGCACATGTGCCCACAGAGAGGGCTCCAAGTGCCACCTCTGGCATCCGTGCCATAGGTTCTCCACCACTGCCCTATACCATTTCAGACAAATAGCAGTCCAGTCTCTTCTTAAAAACTTCCAGTGTTGGAGCATTAACAACTTCTGGAGGCAGGTTGTTCCACTGATTAATTGTTCTGACTGTCAGGAAATTTCTCCTTAGTTCTAGGTTGCTTCTCTCTTTGGTTAGTTTCCATCTGTTGCTTGTCTTCAGGTACTTTGGAGAATAGCTTGACTCCCTCTTCTTTGTGGCAACATTTGAAATATTAGAACTCTGCTATCCTGTCACTCCTAGTCCTTCTCTTTATTAAGCTAGACATACCCAATTCCAGCAACCATTCTTTATATATTTTAGCCTCCAGTCGCCTAATCATCTTTGTTGCTCTTCTCTGTACTTTTTCTCAAGTCTCAACATCTTTTTTACATCATCGTGATCAAAACTGAATGCAATATTCCATGTGTGGTCTTATGAAGGCATCATAAAGTGGTATTAATACTTCACGTGATCTTGATTCTATCCCTCTGTTAATGCAGCCTAGCATGGTGTTGGCTTTTTTGGCAGCTGCAGCACACTGCTGGCTCATATTTAAGTGATTGTCCACTAGGACTCCAAGAGCCCTCTCGCAGTTACTACTGTTGAGCAAGGTACCATCTGTGCATTTGGTTCTTCTTTGCCTAAATGTATTTATTTGTTTGTTTGTTTAGTGTATTCCATTTCCAGAAGCTTTTGTAACATATCTAGGGATTCCCATGGAGTATCTTAAAAACCAAGTTAAGTAAAAATGGGTGATTTCCTCCTAATGCAATCACAAGCTTCAAATGATTTTTTTTTTCTGGGTGGCAAAGCAGAGAGACTTGCTGTGACATTAATTCCCACTCTGCCTCCAAAGTGATTCAATTTGCGTTTTAAAAGGAATAGTACTAAATACAAAATTATTTTTTAAACCATGTATATAGATACTACATCCATTTTCACTATTCATATGTACATACTACATTATGGTGAGAGGACATATCCTCTTGTATTTGCTTCTGCTTTCATTTTTAAGAGCCATTGAAAAAAAAATTTCAGCAAATATTTCAACAAAACCTCTGCTTTCTTTCTTCAATTCTTAGCACTCCAGTTCATCTGGGCAAGGACTGAATAATGTTCAGGCAATTAACAACAAAGGGATCCAGGATAAAATATATGGAGCTGGGTGTGGCCTCACATTTATCCCATTTCAAAGTACCTGCACTTCCCCTTCTGCTCACACTGATTTAAATCTGAAAGTGTGTTACACTCTTACAGCTGAAGAGTTTCTTTTGAAAACAAATAATTATTGATCTGTTTTTACAGAAGTTCAGGTTATATTACTCCACATAGTAACTGTCCTGGAAATACTCCTTCTGTGGGTAGGCTATCCTGCTGCAACTTTGCATGAGGTAGCAATGAAACATACCAATCAAACAAACTAATAGCAAAACTGAATAATTTTCATTGGAGCTTTTTTTTGGAAAGAGAACATTAAGTAATGCAGCCAATTAACATGTGATTTTCTAGAGCATATTTTGGCACCAGTCCTGATCAGATATTTTGAGAAGGAGTCCACTCAATAGAAAAAAAAGTTGAGAAATAGCAACACTGATTTGAGGTATTTTGAAGGAAATGAATATATACACTGCCATCTAGGAGAGGAGTTTTTATAAGACCGCTATATCTAGAATTTAATATTTAACTTTAGCTAGTTGTACACCTAGAACCTTTTAAAAAATATATAATTATTTTATATTAAAGCTCCAAATTGGTGAACATCACTTTAGCTAAGTACCAATGACAAAACAAGAAGGTAGAGCTCACAAACCTCTTTGAAGTTGTCAAAGGCAGCCAGAATAATATCATGACCTCCTCGGACCAAGCAAACAGCAGCCAACAGCTCAAGGACAAGAGCTTTAGTTCTGCAATATGGGAGAGAACGAGATCAAAGGTTTTACACTTGTCCAAAGAAAATGGGGTCTAAGAATGGAACAGGGGGAAGAGAGTGAGGCCAACAGAGGTCAATGACTGGAGACAAAGTCCCCAAAGCAACAAACAGATGGTAGATGATGGAGAAAAAAAGAGAAAGAAATTAACCAAGATGGTAAGCTTCATGGCTGTCTTCCAGCAGCAGAAAGTTCTGCTAGGTCAAGTCTTCTTGATCTGCTAGTTCGGGTCTTCTTATTGGTTTATTTGAATTTAGACATAATTTTTGCTTCTCAACTGTGATTACATAGATGGACATATTTATGTTTATATCAAGGACAAAGTTAACTAAATGTAATAGCACACTAGGGGAAGACAGTAATAGGATGAAGGACAACTAAGTTCCAAAATTGCAATTAGAACTTAAGGGCAACGAGAGAACTTTAGAAGTACTATTTCTATACACACTTGACACCTTAAGAGCTGCTGCTCATATAGTATAAGTAGGAAATTGCATTGCACTATTCCATAATGCGGTTGGCTTCTTTGTGACTTGACATGTTATGTGAATAGGGACTGTATATGGATTGTAAACCATGATTTAATGATTTAACCTACATATGTATCTTATTCAATAATTTGTGGTTAAAATAAACATTGGCTTAGGAAATATGTGAACTTGTTTTGGATAAAGCAATCAAAAAGAAAACTGCAACCAAATATTCATGGGAAAGTATTGCTCCTTGGAACCTTAGTTTTAAACAGATGTAACATGGGAAGCTAAATAATGTTTACTACATAGATGCTGCAGAAGTTCTACTTTTTGTCATATGCATAAATTAAACTATTTAATTTTCCTAGAATAGAGCTATCTATAATTAATTTAAGCCTGTACAAGAATGTAAGAATTACCCTCTTCTATTTGGATTACAGCATCATTTAATCCAGTATTTTGCTTCCCAAGCAAGGGCAGCTAGATATTCTTCGAAAGCAATGCTCCACTCTTCCAACACCTGGTGGCTGGAAAATAGATAAAGGACTGAAGGATATATGAAAGTTGGGAAAACTCATAAATCACATAATGTTAAACTTTATCTCCCAGCAACTACTTTCAACATGGCCAGTAGTGAAGATTGCTGTGAGATGCAGTTTAACACTATTTTTGCAGACCACAATTCCCTATTCTGATGGATATTACATATATATCAGTAGCCCTCAGTTAACAACTGCCCTGTTTAGTGACTGTTCAAAATTACAGTGCTACTGAAACAATGACTTCAGAACTGGTCCTCAAATTTATAACCATAGTAGTGTCCCCATGGTTGCATGATCATCATTCAGGCCTTTCTCAATTGGTGTGCATTTACAACCATCAAAACATCCCACAATCACATGATTGCAATATGAACTGCACAACCAGCTTTTTACAAGCAAAGTCAATGGAGAAGCCAACAGTGAAATTGCAAGCTATGATTTCTGCCTTAATAACTGTGTTGTTTAGTATTGGCGTTGCCAGTTCCAGTTGTGATTGTTAAGTAAGGATTACCTCTATGTAAGGACTAGGAATCATAGCAAAGAGATGGACAAAGTCACTGAGTAAGGTATACCTTCTAGTTGGGGATGAAGCTATCTGTCGGATGCCTGCATGTGAACCATTGCTGTGAAGGTAAGAAAGATTTAGACTGAATTGAGTGAACTGAGTCTAAACACAACTGGCTGAATTTCTTTAATTCAGAGGGCAAGTACAACACGGCTTTCAATAATGCCAAGAATTTTTGAGGGGGGTGTTATTATTATGATAGACCCAGTTGTGCTATATTAATATTATGACAGACCCAGTTATGCTATAGTAGATGAGCAGCTGTAGAAGCCCAATAGATGATGATAGATATATAGATATATTTGTTTAAATTAGTAAATTAAAGATTGTAATTTTAAGCTATGAGTTTTTAACCATATATTTCTGAATAATACACATGTGGCTGAAATCGTATACAGTAAATTTATCCATTATTTGCAAATTAAAACAGATACTGTAGATAGATAGATAGATAGATAGATAGATAGATAGATAGATAGATAGACAGACAGACAGACAGACAGATTAGATTAGATTTACATAACACATTAAGGCAAAGACAGCCAAACTACATTATGATTTCATGCAATGTTTGAATCACTCTGTTGAACGGAGGTGTATTCCATGACCCTTACCACTAGTATACCAATATTGTACTCTTTGCCTTAATATGAGTTGTTATTATTAGTCAGAATACTATGAGATTTAACCAATCCTGAGTTTTAGTAACTCACTCCATAAAACTAAATGAATACTGAGAACAAGTCAGGATGCTTGTGGATTTTGTTTGGTTTGTATTGCAATCAGCACTGCTCCATGCCTCTCAAACATCTATGCCAATTGAAGCCCTTTGGATGTGATGCTTCCATTCTCAGCTCAAAATACGTGCCAAAGTGCACATTGAATGTACATTATTAGAAGATATATTTAAAAGTAATGTATTCTAGGAAATGTTCATTGTTATACCATATCTTAAAATAATAGTGTTTAATGCAAAAATGATATATGAATTCATCTCTGACACTGACCTAGATAGCAATTGGCTAACACAACCATTCAGACTGAGAAGGATAACCATAAAGAATTCCTACCTGGGATTCTTATTGTTGAGACTGAGTGTGATCTCATTTACACAGGCTGGATGGGTCATCACAAGACTGAATCCAGACTAAGGGAGAAGTGAGACAATTAGCAGCCAAAATTAGCAGTTGAAGTGAATCTAGATGACTGAAAATGGAAACAAACACAGGCATGGCTCTTTGGTTACAAAGAGATTCAAAGAGTATATTTTTTAAAACAAACTGAGGCCATATGGACGTGATTGGTTGTGGCAAGCCAAAATGCTGGTTACCCATTTTCAAGTGATAATTATGAACCTAACTTTTCTTTGCACAGAGAGTTTTAAAATCTCTCTCTCTCACACACACACACATACGTTTTCATAATTTAACCAAATTGTTTGTGTGATGTCATTTTACAATAACATATAAAAGTTTTAAAAGCCATATTACTCCTTAAGACACCTGAGCTCTTCAAACATTTGATTATTGCTCAAATATTGGGATATATAAACTCACAGCATTCCACCAATTCCTACAACCATGTCTGATGGGAGTAACGCTACTGAGCAACATCTTCCTTTCAAAAATAATAGTGCAAAATTATCATGTAAAATAATTTCCTAGGCATACCTACCTACTTATTATAATTCATTGTAAACAGGTTGTGCAAATCTGTCTGTACTGTATGGAAAATTCCAATGTTTAAATTTATAATATGTTTGCTTTTAATAGTTTTAATATGGTGTTTATGTTGTTTTAATTTTTAATTGTGAGCTACCCAGTTTGATATAAAATGAGCAGTTGCATAAATGTTTTAAACAAACAAATAAATACAAGAGTGGTTAATCAAATCTAACATTGGTTTGCAACAAGCACCACTGACTACTTTAAGGGCTATTGAATTCTCCCTTCCCAATTTGCTTACTGTGATCAAAACCAAATTCCTCTTATATGTTGATGACTAAAAGCCCCATGCAAGCAGGCCATTTAATAATTATGGATAGCAGAGTTCAACAATTTTGGAAAGCACTAGAGTGCTTACACTCCATGTTCTCAGAAAACTGCAAGACGATGAAAACTGGAATTCTAACATTAAAACATTAAGATTTTTCTGAGAATGCATATAGCCATATTATTCCTACACCTACGTCTGATTTATGGGTCATTTTAGAAAACTGTCCAATATTGAACATTGGTTTATTCAGATTAGCTCTTCAAATGGGAACCTTTCCAGCCCTATCTGGAAATATTGGAGATGGATTATTTTGTATGGTACAGATTTTCTGGGTTTTTTTTTCCTCCTTGCCTCTCCCCGATACCATGAATATACATCACTTCACACATCAATTCTAAAATCTAGGCAAGTTTCAAAATCCCTTTCCAAGGTTGTATATCTATTTTCTACACATCGAAACCTTCACCTTTCTTATCCTCCTCCTCAATTACCTGATAATTCATAATAGCACGGAGACACATGATGCAGACATGAACATCATCCTTCTGGCTGACGATGCGTGAGTTCCGTAGTGCCTTCCTGCTGTGTGCCGGATTGAGTCTGGGGTAGAAATAAATTTAAAATGGGGAAGAGAGGGGGGAGAAACAGCTCAATGACAATGGGTGTCAATCTCATACAATAGTCCAAAAGTATAAAGAATAGCATATGAGAAGAATTTGAAGGGGAGCAGCAGGAGTATTAGTAGCAGGTTAGTAGTTTAAATTTTCCTTTCCTTCTAAATTTCCAGTATAAATAGCATCCAGGAATAATTTTATCCAATCTGTTGTTCTGCAGCTGTGTTGCACTTTAGTCCCTATAATTTCTAGATGTGACTGGCTGGACATTATAGAAGTTAAAGTCCAACATATCTGGAAGGCAACAAGGTGAGAAATTCCGGCCTACAGGATGTTGTCACCTATGAAGATGTCCAGTCCAGTTTCCAGGGCATTGCTGCTTCCATATGATTAGGCATGGAAAAGAATCTCAAGAATGGAGCTAACAACTATTGGAAAAAATATCACACAAAGTCTTTCACATGGATATGGTTGAAGGACAATACAGAGGATGGATGCTGGTATCAGTTCTTCAGATTCTAAAAAACTGGTGGCTTTGGCATCAGCCTTACAAAAGGTTTCTAGATGTCATGACTGAAGACAAGCCAGATGAAACTTTATATTATTTTTGTAAAACTTCAGGCTCATTTGACGTTCAACAGTTCCTTTCCACAACCTTTGTACATCTCAGCCAATTTCCTAATCTTTATGACAGTAGCAACAAAAAAATTAAAATAAAAATAAAGCCAAAACAAATCAACCAAAACCCCTTGGGATGACTATGAAAACAATGAAAATCTAAGCATGCAAATATACCAGATTTTCCAAAATAATTCCAGTGACTGAACTTTTAGGGATGGATTGCCTCATTTTGGATGTTTAAAATAGCAAACTTCCAGCCCTCAAGACTCCCAGTGTTCAGTATCTGGAGTGCCTGTGCATGAACACAAAGGTGAAAGAAGGGCAAGCGTGGCCTTGCCCCAGCCACTCCTACAGCCTCTGGCTGCTTATGTGGGGGAGGGGGTTCTGATGAAGTCTGGGAAAAGCTCACCGGGGTGAGTAAGAGTTGACAGGTGGCCTGGGCTTACAGTCCTGCTCGGTGCCAGGGGCGCTGGAGGAGGGGATGCTGGGGTGGACTTGTTGAAAGAATGTTTGGATCTGCTGGTTCAAGTGGCAACACCTGAAGGAAGTGGAAGAGTGCAACCCTGCAGGACAGGAGGGAAAAATAGGATGCTTCAGGTGGACGCCTCCCTGTCCCTCCCCCTTCCCAAGCATGGTGGGAAAGTGATAGTTTTGGAGTTACAGGGAGAGTCACTTGCAGAACAACCTTGACATCCCTTTAGAATTTTTTAGGTAAATCCAGCAAAAAGAGCCCATTATTACCCATTTTTCCAATGCAGGTCTACTTCTACTCTTTGAGATTTTCTCTGTGTTATGGGCAGGAATATTTTCTTCTCTAAATTGTGTAGCTTTGTATATCCCAAATTGGGAGGGGGGGTTGCCTGCAGGAGTGGGAATCCACCTTGGGTCAGTTAAGTTAGTTGTTTTCCAAAGTCAACACCCTCCCATTCAGGATTAGGATCTTATGTAACAAAAAGGCTGATTAGCCTAAGAAAATCTGGAATCAGTTAAATCATTTAGCCCATTGAATCACAAGGCCCAGCCCCTCCAATCTTTAAGGAAGGGTGTATTGGTTTTCACTTCTGAAATGTAAGTAGAGAGAAAGGCTTCTAATGTTGCATAAGAAATCACATTAACAAAGCATGGAAGGGGTCTTTGGTGCACTCCTCCAAGATGCTAGGTCACATATTGGTTAATGCCTCAATGCCTATCAAAAATGAAAGAGAAAGAGAAAAAACATACATTGGGCTTCCTTTTCAAACTATGATTCAATGGATCATAGTGTTGAATTTCTCCAGAGTTGATGAACCCAAACTACACATGTACTATATCCCATCAACTATATTCTCCCTATTCAGGAAGACAATATCTGGGTACCTACCATGAGGCATTTCCCCAATGGAAGCATGCAAAAGAAGTGTGGGGTTAGAATAAGAAGAAAGAAAAGGAGTTAGGACAGAGATGAGAGAAAGAAGGGGAGAAGAAAGACTGATTTTACAAGTTTGTTAGAAAGTTAGCAGTTAACACGGAAAAGCCCCCATCTTCTCAGATTTGTCATTGAAAGCACTATCTTTGAGGTGATCATAGATGTGAAAAAAACTTGGAAACTAGATTATGGTTCTATACTATTATTTTAGATTGGTTTACTTAATATAGTAACCCTAGCATGTAAGAAAATGTTTAAAAACTCTCCAACTATAACCTGGCTCCTTTGTAGTCATTTTCTTCTGGGGAAAGAACAGTGCATATTGTGTTCTTTGCATTGCAAGTAAACTTTTAATTTCTAAATTAGCAATTGAAAAATGAGTAATCTCTTGAAAAAAAAATTTAACTTTAAGAATTTTTAAGAAATCTGGTGGGATCAGAGCTTTTAGTATGAGTTGTTAAGTTGGTCTACAGAAGTCAAAAAACAGGAAACAATCTGTGGAGCATTTCCTCATACTTCTCCCTAGTGAGCTCATTTTAATGAGCAATTAATCTCATTGTTCCATTTAATTGGAGCTATCTTAAATCCAAAATATTTCTGAACGTTTTAGATGAAGGTTCTGAGATTCACCCTATATATATACTTGTATATACATAGACAAGTAAATAAATAACCTACACCTAACCAGCCTGCCATCCTCTGTCATACAATTCTTTCATTTGGCATCATTCTGGCATGATCTAAAAGAGTAAGAATTTGGGGCTTACACTAACTGAAATGGCCTCTGATTTCCACACTGCTTATATTATAGCAAATGATACTTTATAGCAAAGGCTTTTTAACATGTGCCAAACCCTAAGACAAGGGGTCCCCAACTCCCAGTCCACGGACCAGCACCGGCCTGCAGCATGCCAGAAACCAGTCTGTGCAAACAAGCCAAGGCCCATCCACGGGATGCAGGCACCATGCAAAACCACACCCGCTCTGGTCTGCGGAAAAATCTTTCTCCACGGAACCGGTCCCTGGTGCCCAAAAGGTTGGGGGTCACTGCCCTTAACTTGCTGGCTTTTCTATAATTTTTGTATTTTATTTTCTAGTGCAGTTTGTTGTGCAGGAAAAATATAAAACATGGGACTGCCTGTCTTTCTGTCCCATGTGCTTCATCTGAGTAGTGGGAAAGTTGTTTAAGAAAACCTACCCGAATTTCATTTGGTTACCTGACAGTCAAGTGCCTTGTTTTGATGGAACCCTGTGTGGGAGAGCAATTGCTTCTGCTGAGGTCCTCTACAGATCTGTCCAGGGCCTTTCCCTTGTCCGACCCAGGGCTCCCATTGTCAGTGCTGTCCATATCATACCTGGAGCCACACAGACAAACACAAATGTGCGTCAACAGGTGAGTGGGTGGGGTTTATTGAGGCTCTGGCAGTGAAATGGAAGGAGAAAGGAGAACTGTTTTTCAGGGCATTACCATTCTGTACATTTCAATAAATTCTCCTCCCTGTAAAGATTCACAACTCAGTTGCTGAAATAAACATGGCTTAGGTTCCATTTTTGCTTTGGCAGCGTCAGAGCTGGGCTGCTATCCAAGGTGCTGAGCAAACTGTCTTTGTGTCTTTTACTTTGGTGTATACAGGCTTCCAGTTTCCAGGATTCTCTCTCTCTTTTTAACTAGGTTCCTGAGGTCCACTAGCTGGATTCAGGAACCTAGTTAATTTATTATAGGTGGAATAAATGGAGCAAGATGGAAAATGGTGGCTTAGGAAGCGGAGTCATTATATACTTTATATGGAAGGTAGCTTCCACATAAATACAAACCTATATCTGCATTACTTCAGAGTAATAATATTAACCACTTATTTTTTTTACTAAACTGCTAATTGTTTTATTTTTTATTGTAATAATTAATATTTAAAATCAATGAAATATTGTTGTCAAGAAGTCATTGAACTATGGGTAGTCCTCGACTTACAACTGTTCATATAACAACAGTTCAATGTTATGACAGTTTTGGAAAAAGCGATTAAGGCCTGTCTTCACACTTTCAACCACTGCATCACACACACCCCTGCAGTCACGTGATCACAACTGGGGCACTTGGGAACTAGCTGGCATTTATAACTGGTTGCAGCATTCTGCAGTCACTTGGGGTCAATTGCTTGATAATAACATTTGTCAATTTCATTTCCATCAAAGAAACTCAACTGGGGAAGGTGGATTTGCTTAATGATTGTGTGATTCACTTAATGATGTGATTCATTTAACAACTTTAATATAAATGATTCTAAAATAAGGTTGTTCATGTGATGACTCACTTTATGACCTGCCCAATTTATGCCAGAAAGTCTAATTCCAATTGTGGTCATAAGGCAAGAACTATATGTATGGCAAGGGATTAATCATCTATCCTTGATCTTGATGTACCTCATATCCACTTCTATTAGATATTGTTTACAGGTAGTCCTAGACTTACCACCATTCATATAATGACCGTTCAAAGTTACAACAGCACTGAAAAAAGTGGCCTGACCGTTTTTCGCACTTACAACCATTGCAGCATCCCATGGTCATATGATCAAAATTCAGACACTTGGCAGCAGAATCATATTTATGAAACTTGCCATGTACCGAAGTCATGTGATCCCCTTTTGCGACCTTCTGACAAGCAAAATCAACGGGGAAGCCAGATTCATTTAACAACAGGGTTACTAACTTAACAACTGCAATGATTCACTTAACAACTGTGGCAAGAAAGATCATAAAATGGGGCAAACTCCCTTAACAAAAGTCTCACTTAGCAAGAGAAATTTTGAGCTCAATTGTGGTTGTAAGTCAAGGATTATCTCTATTTTTCCTACAATACGCAGTGAAGTTTGCTTTTACTTTGGGCATAAAAAAAGTGCAGATGGCCATTTTTTTGCCTGTAATGGCAGAAGCAGAATAAAATTATGTTAAAGGAACGTATACAATTGTTTCATTTGTAAACAAAGCTTCCTTTGTACAACATACTAAAGCTGGGCACATGAGATCAGTTGGGATCTCATGAGGCTTCTGTACCAGCCTCCCTGCTGCATAGCGATCTCCCTGCTTGAGCTGCCGGAGGCCATCTCAGGGCTGACGGTGGAGTTTCCCAGGTTTGTGGTCCTGGAGGACTTCAATCTGCCATCCTTTCAATCTGCCTCAGAGGCAGCCCAGAATTCATGGATGCCATGGTGGCCATTGGCCTACCCCAGATCATCCAAGGACCTCCTCAGGATAGCAGTCACTCTGGATATGATTTTCTTGTTGGAACAGTGACAATGTGATCTGGTAGGGAATTTGTCATTATTCCCAGACCACACCTGGTAGCTGTGAGATTTTCCAATGCTCACTGCCTTGCAGGGAGGCAGACCTATTTGAATGTTCTGCCCTCGGTGATTAATGGACCCATATGGGTTTCAGAAGGAGCTGGAGGATATCCTGGTGGTTCTGCTGCATGGCCCAGTGGAGCTTTGGCTACAACCTAGAATCAGAAAGCAGCTGAGGCCATGGACAGGATTATTGCCATGCACACTCTCCTGGCCCCACAGTCCCCAAGGTTTATGGAGGAGCTGAGGGTGCTGAAAAGAGTCAAAAGACAGATAGAGCACTGCTGGAGGAAAACTGAAGCTGACTGGATACAGATCACAGCCACAATTAAAGCCTAACATGGCAGTAAGAGTGCTGAAACATCACTATTTCTCCAGTCTTACTCTATTCTCAGAGTGTTACCAGCGGCTCTGTTCAAAGTCCCTCCTTGAGAAGTGGGCTTTGATAATCATTTACAGGGCTCCGCTCAGATCCATTCTCAGTTTGAATCCAAGTGTGGAGCATCTCCATTGGAATGATTTGATCCTATTGGACTTGAGGAAGTGGACAGGATCTTTGGGGCTGTTAAGGCAACTACTCACTTATTAGATCCATATCCCTCCTGCTTGGTGAAAATCTCCAGGATTGTGACCTGCAAATGGGTCCAAGTGGGATTAACACATCAGTCCAAGGGGAAGTGTTTCCAACACCATTTAAGGAGGTCTTGGTGTACACTTCCTCAAGAAACTATCCTTGAACCTAAGTCCTTTGGACAATTTTCATCCAGTTTCCCACCTCCCCTTTCTAGGGAAGGTGGTGGAGAAAGTGGTTGCCTTGCAGTTCCAGAGGGTCCTGGATGAAATGGATTATCTGGACCCCTTTCAGTCAGGTTTCAGGCTGGATTATGGGATAGAAATCCCATTGGTCACACCATCAACCGTAGTATCCTTTTAGTCAGCTATGGGCTTTGAGACTGAGTGGCACTGTATTGCACTGGTTCAGCTCCTTCCTCCAAGGCCAGTCCCAAGAGATGTCAATAGGGAGCAAGGGGTCCAGCCTATGGCCACTCCTTTGTGAGAAGCCACTGGTACGTTCTCCACTCCTTTTTAACATCTACATGAAACCATTGGTAAGATTATCGGACCCTATGGGATGAGATATCAGCAGTATGCATCTCCATGATGCAGTTTTACATACTTCATCCTCTGGTAATCCAAACTATGCTGTGGCCATCCTTTCTCAGTGCCTGGAGGCTCTAGGGATCTGGATGGGGGACAACAAGCTTCAACTTAACCAGGCAAGATGGAATGACTGTGGGTGGAAGGGACTTCAGGATCCAATTGTTTATCACCATTAACTCTGGGTAGGATTGCACTATCACACACAGATCCAGTGAGGAACTTGGGAGTCCTCCTTTACTCATGACTCCTGCACAAAGAGCAGGTGACAGTTGTGGCTAAAAGGGCCTTTGTGCAACCTCATGCTGTGCCCCAGGAACACCCTTACTTGGATCATGAAGCACTGAGCATGGTCACTTATGCCCTAATCATCTCTCAGCTGGATTACTGCAGCGGACTCTATATAGGTCTGCCCTTGAAGAATATTTGGAAGCTGCAGCTGGTACAGAATGCAGTGGTGCACACAGTCCCGGGAGTCTTAGGATTGCACATATAACACCACTTCTGCATAAGCTGCATTGATTACCAGTTTGCTTCTGGTTGCAATTCAAGGTTTTGGTTGTACCTTTAAACCCCTTCATGGCTTCGGTCCAGGGCATCTCAGGATCTGTCATTCCCTGATGGGACAAGCTCGTGCCAGCAGAAGGAGCCTACACTAAGAATCCTATCTGCTAAAGAATTCCAGCAGGCAGGTTCAAGGATAAGAGCCTTTTCCACTGTGGCCCCATCCTTGAGAATTGCCCCCACCCTTTTGGTCTTTCAGAAGGATATTAAAATGTGGCTTTGCTGGCTGGCCTATGGCTCTGAAGAGACTATTCATTGCTTGAGGGTTGAGAGGGTAAGAAGACCTCATCCCCCATCCTGTCCATCTCTTAGTTCTAGTTTTAATATACCTTCTGTAATCTCAATCTGTGTAGTTTTAGTGTGTTATAATATTTTAATTATTTTTCTATTCTTTTTTAACTTGTATGCTGCCCAGAGTCATCTTATAGGGGAATGGATGGCATAAAAAGTTAATAAATAGTAATAATAATACTTGGCCTTGAAGAAATGAACTGGTTGTAAGGACCCACCCCACTTTGCATCTTAAGAAGACAGAACTCTTGGAATAGCTCTTCCAACAGGAATCCTTTATTAAGAGAAAATGGTTGCAGGCATGCTAGACAGGACTTGGGGTTCAAGCTCTCCCATTCAAGGTTTTAAGGGGTTCCCCAGTAGTCCCACCCAATCAACCCCCCTTCCAGTGATAGTTTCAAGTATCACAATTCCATCCCCTTTCTTCTTCCGTCTGGATGGAGACTTCAGATAACTACATGAAAGGCAATTACTCTTCTTTGATATGTTAAAGCTTAGAGGCCACAATAAACACACATTCAGTCCTTTGAAGTGTGCTGAAGGAAGTGAGGGCCATAAAGCCCCTTTGCTCTCCCCCTTTTCTCCCTCTTATGGCAGAATCCAGAGAAGGCAGAATTGGGAGTTTCTATGTTTGATAATTAAAGATGAAATATAATTGGATTCTGACATCCGGCCCCTCTTAACAATAAGAGAGATCCACCTGAAAGAAAACACAAGTAAAAAATTTAGTTAGGCTTGTTAGGATACTCTGTGTGAAACTTCTTCAATAGCTTCGGGGCTCTGACGTGACGTTTATGGACCCACTCATTTTGTGAGGCAGGGAGGTGTTTCCAGGCAACTAGGTACTGAGTTGTTCCACGATATCTCCTAGAGTCAAGGATCTCTTTTATTTCGAAGTGTTGTTCCCCCTCCACCATGATTGGAGGTGGTGGGGGGGGGATTTTTGGCCGTAGAGGTGACTGATGCTCTCTTTTCAGCAAGCTGCAATGAAAAATTGG